TGATACTTGATTGCGATTGGCTTACATTCCGGTTTTAAATTAGAAAACAAAGATACCGGTTCTACAGTTGAGGCTGCCACGCTACATACGGTTAGTTGTGACTTGTTGCCACCAAAGACTACTTTAATACTTGCATGGTTTTTCAAAATATCATGTCCAACAATTATATCTGCACAAAGATCTGGTAACAATGAAAGATTAACTTGCTTGTAAAAGTGATCAAGAATGACAAGATTTACTTTGCATTGACCTGTTATGTCGGATGTGATTGATGTAGTAGCCATTGAGACAGTACCCCTACCTGGTTTTATAGGAATACCTAAATTAAGAGCAGTAGATTTGTTTATAAAACTTAGAGAGCTTCCCGTATCTATCAAAGCAGAGACAGATTTACCATTAACTAGGGCTTGTACTGTACTCTTTGTTAACCCACCGGGCAAGCTGCTAGGTCAATAGAGTTCATTACTTCTTTAGATTTATCCAATTGCTTGGTTTGTAGTTTACCTGCCCTGCAGACCTTAGCAAAATGCCCCTGTTTACCACAGTTATGAAAAATTGTATTTTTAGCTGGACATTTGACCCTAGGATGTCTTAGATTACCGCAAAAGAAACATTTTTCAGTCACAGCAGCTAGAGAACACTTTTCTAAACTGCTTGAAGTTGCATCAACATTCTGATTGCTCGCTTGAGTTTCTTGGGACGAAGTTGCATTTACTATAGATTGGAAAGATTGAAAAGCTAATGATTGCTCATGTGCAAGTTCTAGGGATCTGGCTTGACTATATGCCTGATCTAGTGTCAACGAAACATTTTCTAGTAAGCGCTGGCGAATTGCAGAAGATTTTATTCCAGCAATAAATGTGTCACGGATATAATCATCCCTATTCTTTTCAGCTGTGACAGCTTTAACCCTTTGAGTGCCAACGTCCGGGGAACCGGACATTTTTAAAACGAGCCAAAAGTGCCGACGTCCGGCCGACCGGACGTTTTTAGAACGAGCCAAAAGTGCCAACGTCCGGCTGACCGGACGTTTCGTAATGATCGAACAGTTGTCATAACAACCGAATGGATACTCGGATTCTTTTAACCCATATATTAACATTGAGTCGAAAGTTACTAGATGCGATACATCGATTTTCGTTGGTCGAAATATCGAAAATTCGATTTTTACGAAATTTTAACCTAAAAACCGCCAGATCGCGCTCGGCATTTTTAGCGCGACCTTCGGGAAAAATCATCGGCATTTTTTGAGCGTTACTTTTATTTCTCGCCTGGCACTATAAGGGTTAAACTGACAGTCTTTACTTAGTAATTTTAAAGCCTGGAGATATTGGTCAATAGTCTACTCAGGTTGCTGCTGACGTGCAGATAGTTTATGTCTGGAATATACTTCATTTACAGGTTTTACATAGATACTTCTTAGCACAGATATAGCATCGTTATACTGCGTTAACTCTACCGGTACCCGTTGCCTTCCTTTATTATTGATCGGCAAAGCAAAGAAGCCGCGGGCTTTAAAGAACGTAGCCAACTTACCAGTGACCTACACTAATCAGAAGAATGCTTGGATGGAGAGCACTATTTTTTTTAGTGGTACGATAAAACCTTTATTCCTCAAGTTAACAAATTTAAACAGGAAAAAAGGGTAAGGTTTTACTTATTATGGACAATACGCCAACACATCCTTCACTGGAGCTTCTCGTGAGAGAAAAGGGAAGATTTAAGTGTCTCTTTTTACCTCCTAACGTGACAAGTCTGCTCCAGCCCATGGATCAGGGTGTAATTGAGTGCACAAAACGTCTTTACAGACAACAGATGCTTCGTAAATTGCTCCTAGCTGAAGAGAACAAAGAAGAACAAGTTTTGGATTCTTACAAAAAAATCAACTTGAAAGACTGTTGCTACATGATTGCAGACTCTCGGAACATGGTTAAAAAGTGTTTCACTTAAACGGGCTTGGAACAAAATCAATAGTACGTCAACAACAGAGCACCTCGAGTTAGAAAAGCAAGCTAAAGAACGAGAACTAACTGCTGAACGTTAATGAAGACGAACCGGAATTGTCGTCAGTTGGGGAGTTAGTAAACATGGCTAAGGAAATTGCGGGTTGTTCTGAGTGTGATGTCGATGATATGGAAGAGTGGTTGGAATGTGATAAGAACGATCAAGGATACCAGATCATGACTGATGATGAAAACGCAGTGAGTGTTATGGATGAACAGAAGATGAAAACAATGAGACCGCAGGAGACAAAGAGGCAGGAGAAGAAAGTGTACCATCACATAGTGAGGCGTTTATGTGTTTTGACAACGCCCTCAAATGGATGGAGGGGCAACCAGAGTGCGACGGTGTACAGCTTCTTGCCGTTCGGCGCCTGCATGATCTAGCTGCGCGGAAACGAGCTACAAGGTCACGGCAACTTACGCTGATCAAGATGTTTAAGTAAGCGTTGTTAAAGAACTTTTTGAAAAGAACTTTATATTGTACTGTAGTTTTGTTTTTTTAAATATCAGTATTTGTTCCTCTACTGTACTTCAATTCAATTTAACAGCTCTATTATGTCTTAGTTATCCACTCAATAAAGTTCATTGTTGTGTAACACTGTGTTTTTCTTTATTACCATTCTGTGTCCGATTATCCAAATTTTTGACCATCCCAATCGACCCCGGTCCTAATTAATTTGGATAATCGGCGTACCTCATTTAACATATAACAGGACAGTATCGGTTAAAATATCGAATTGAAGATGTAAAAGGTCGAAATAAATAATTTTGTTTGCCTCTGCACGGTCTGAGGAATGGTACATCTTGTCTCTCAATGTTGTTTCGCCATAACGACAAGAGTATTTCATATAAAGGTTACTTACAGTCTTCGCAATCCTGTTAGTTGAGCACTACGGCCGTTTTGGAGATAACTCCATCGTCGGGTGCGTAGTCATTATACACTAATCTGAGCTATTTACATATTTACATTTCTTACGTGGTTTCTTCATTTTCATTGCGTCAAGGTTAAATAAATAGTACATACAACACAAAACACGGACACGACACGAAAACATTAAGGCACGTGCACGGCTAAAAACTGACGACCGACACAGTCGGTAAAAAAAAAAAAAATAGTCGGTCGTCAGTTTTTAGCCGTGCACGTGCCTTAATGTTTTCGTGTCGTGTCCGTGTTTTGTGTTGTATGTACTATTTATTTAACCTTGACGCAATGAAAATGAAGAAACCACGTAAGAAATGTAAATATGTAAATAGCTCAGATTAGTGTATAATGACTACGCACCCGACGATGGAGTTATCTCCGAAACGGCCGTAGTGCTCAACTAACAGGATTGCGAAGACTGTAAGTAACCTTTATATTTATTACACGCAATCTGCCACACTGATTAATCAAGAGTATTTCTAATATTTACTTTATAAACAGACAATCCAAAAAAATTAATTATCTTGCATTATAGTGTAAATTAAATTTAGAGAACTACAACAAAGTTCAGTTTACAGAGAACAAAATATCTCACAATTATTTTTTTTATAAAGGTTTAGAGTTTAGAGTGATAAAAACGCGGTGTGTTCAACTATAAAATTTAACATTATTTTAGTTTCATAGTTTTATTATTATTCATTGTATACTATTTTCTTACTATTATCACTCACAAAAGAAATTTCTAGTTGGTTTACTAAACGCAAGTTTTTCAGCAAAAAATAAGTTGTATTATAAACTCCAATTATTCAAAGTTACAAAGATTAATAAATGGTATCGCAATCCGACACAAATTTTCTCACATTAGTTTGCTTACATCCCTTATCATCGGCAAGCGGTTGGAGCAACTTGATATTTTATGGGTAAAATCACAAAAGTTGCAATAACTTTTGACCTGGACTCTTTTATAAATGGGCCCGGGCCCAGGGGCGCAAGGGGTTTTAAGTTTGTTGGGGGCGCAAGGAGGAAAACAATTTACCCTCAAGGTAGGAGGAGAGGGGCATAATCATCTCTCAGGCCCATAGCACATCACATGCAAACCGTGGACCTGCTTTTGAATCCTAACTTTTACAGCAATGGGGGTTGTACCATTTTGTTTGAGTTAAAAAGGACCATAATATACCAAACATGTAATTCAAATGGTTTGGGCCATTTTTTGGGAAAATTAGACTTTGAAATTTTTACATGGGTAAAACAAAAATTAAAAATTAATATTTCAAAAAAATTGATTAACCCTAGAGCTGGCACTAGTGTAACGCTGTACTGGCATAGGGATATTATTGATTATGTAATATCATTTTTAAACCATCATAAAAATTAGAAATAGCAACATAACTATGGACTGTTATATATAATTAATTTTGTTCAGAATAAGACAAAGAACAATACTATAGGTGGTTTACATGGTTACCACAAAAAAATCTTTTTTTAGTTTTTCCAAACTGTAGGCATTATTAATTTTTTTATAAAAAGTTTTTATATTCCGTCGTATACCTAAGTGCATGTAAGACTTATCATCATAAGGTAAATTGTAAAGTTGTGGTAAATTTTGTGCTGATTCCAAAAATATATAGTTTATATAGCTTATTTTGTGTATTTTGTTTGATAGCCCTATTACTATGTCGATCGTACCCCCGCGCTAGTACCAAATAATCATCCAACCCAGGTCATGTACAAAACCGTACACCTTATTTAATATATAATTCCAGGGTACTCTGGTTTGTATTATTTAACTTATTTATTACAACAGTAGCCCTAAAAAGTGAACAAAACTAAAAAAAAAAAAAAAAAAAAATTATATATAGGCCTACCGTAACACCTGCATTGGCGCTGTATATCCTTTCGGCCGTGGCCGTTCGCGCCGTATATCCGGCGTTTGCCAGCGCTAGGGTTAAACAACTAGGGATACCATGGATTAATTAATACCAATGTATACCAGATTTCATTAAAATCGGACCACAGGTGCACTCAATCAGGGATAAAAGGTAAGCAGGGATTTATCTGAGAGCTACACTTACTGTTACCACCAGCGTCAGAAATCTTCTGAAGTCACTCTTCGTCTCACTACAAACATGTTCAGCCAGTGGACGGTTGTACACTAAAACCAATATGCAGCTTAGAGTAATTGTTCTTTAGAAAATTTACCCTAAAAAATAAACCTGTTTAACTCTGATTCTTATAACAATTGATGAATTGTTAAAGCTTGTCTAGTTTGTTAATCTACTCTAAAAAAATCTTTAAGGCCCCTTTTATACTCTGCGGCTCACCGCACACCATTGCAACCTGCGGCTCTGTAAATTCGTTGAGTGAAATGAGAAGTGTTATACCACGTTGCAGCGTGCTAGAGAGCACCACGCGCTGTTCGAGTGCGTGTTGGAGCGTGCTGTAACTGTGCACTTACGAGCCACAGGAACCTGTGGCCTCGGGGTACAATGTGTTTATGGTAGCTTTTATACACTGCGTTATGTTGCAGCGGCACTGTCGAGTGCTGCCAACATGAAAAAAACCAAACCCTCCCTAACATGCACCTGCATAATTTGTTTATTAAGTTTCAAAACATGACTATGACGTGGACAATTATTAAATCAGACTATGTAATAATCACACTAATATTATAAATCTGAAAGTTTGTGTGTTTGTTTGTTTGTTTGGGGTTCAATCATGCATTAACTAGTGGTCGGATTGGGCTGAAATTTGGGTCAGTGTTAGGGCCTATTCTGTTGCTATTAATGATTAATCACTAACCTAGTAACTTATCTTGCCAATCACTCTTATATTAGGAAAAGAAAGTGGTCATCATCGGCATGATGATGTAATATAAAATAAAATGTTTTTAGGGTACTGTGGTATTTTGATTTACTTAATAATATATAGATATATATATATATACATATATAAAAATTTGAACGAATGGTGTTTTTGGCCTCTGGGGACATCAAAATGAAAAAGTAAATCGGTCCCGGGCCTAGGTCTTACCATGAGACCTACGGTAATAGCTACATCCCTATAGGGAAATTCGCTAAATACTTCCCTATAGGGAAATTTGCTAAATACTTCCCTAGCCTATAGGGAAATTCGCTAAAAAACTATTTATACCTAGCCATAAATTTCTATAAATACAACCCTTTAATAAACTGCCTGTATTGTTTCAAGAGCAAACTTTTGTTAAATTTCAAAATAATTTGTCCGATTGGCTTCTTGACAGGTGTTTTAATTCTGTAGACAAGTTTTTATTAGGTTATCAAACATCCAATATGGAGTTTTCTATATTGCTAACAATCTTAAAACCTACGATCATTGTAACTTCGTTTTAGCAAATTTCCCATATAGGGAATAAGCTATTACCGTAGGTCTCATGGTAGGACCTGGACCCAGGACCTATTTACTTTTTTGTTTTGAGGTCCCCAGAGGCCAAAAACACGATCCATTCAAATTCATATTATACATTTATATATGTGTCCGTTAGCTCGAGCAAAAATGATCCGATTTTGATTAAATCTATATAAATAAAATTAGAGTTTTGTCTGTACATTGCTCAGAATTATAAATTTTTAGATTATTTTTTCGTTTTATACATTAAAGAAGCCGAAACAAGTCTCATCTCTATTTCTGTCTGTCGGTCGTCTGTTACGTCCCAAGAGGCATTTTACGCGGCCTTCTCCTAAAAAACGAGAGTACCTATCAAGATCCAAATCATTTTAATGTATTCACTGGATTGGCGAGATTGTCTTTAGCCATTAAAATATGGCCTCACTATTTTTTTAATAAAATTACGGATGTTTAAAAACCCGATTTTGTGCGATTTTTGTCAAGTTTTTTCCTAATGTCCATCACATAATCATCTATGTAATAATGAACAGCTGTTCGGATCAAAATTATGTTTTCTAGCTGTCACTGATATGTTTACATTAAATGTTGTTTACAAATACTGCAAACGTTTCCAATAACGTTTTGAAAGCAAAACCCAAACCAAGTGAGATTAAAAACGAGTTTCCTTACATAAAGGATTTAATTAATCGAAAGTTCAATAATGTGTATTGTAACCGTGTCCGTAAATGAAATTAGAGATTCTTTGTGTATACAATTTTTCTGAAGTTTTGATAACCGGGAAAAAGACCTTGAATCAGTGTTGTATAGGGCTGGGAACTTACATTTATAAAATCATCGTCGCCAATAGCTTACTAATAAGGTTTTCACTCATTGACGGCGTTACAATGGCGGTTGTGTGAAGTGTAAAGTGAAAAATCATAACTGCAGTGGGTGATTGTAACACAGGTTTGCCGGTTTACGGATGATGCTAAACTCGCTTTTCCAATGTGTCACTTTCGGTTTCTACTCACCGCTATGTGCTGCAATCGCTGGACCATACAGCAAATAAGCCCATAAACTGTATCTTGGGTACGTAGGCCTACCCAATTATTTGTCGCATGACAACCTATTCAACGACAATCCTTGATCCCGGTACTTTTCCCTACAATACATGGCCTTACTACTTAGGAAATCAAATTAAAAACGTTAAAAAACACAACATTGTATAATTTTTTCACATTTCCTTCTTATGTAAACTACATATACGAAACATAATTTAGAGAATACGCAGTCTTTTAAATAACAAAAAGCTGTTTGGATGAGATTGTTTTGTTCAAACTGTCACCAAAATGTTTACATAAAAAGTTGTTTACAAATAATTCAATTAATGAGAAATAACTTTGATTTTCGACAACTTTTTGTCAGAAAATCCAAAACCAAGATGAGAGATCAATATCCTCGGAACTGGATTAATGCATTTAATTGGTCGGATGTACTATAGTTCTTAACTGTAAACGTTGGTTTTTGGTACTGGTATTTTCCTTAGAACCGGTGGTATCAACAAGAATAATTTTTACGTACCAACACATCACTATTTACAAATTAGTTATCGTTAGTGTTACACCTTATTTATTACAGTATTTTTCAATTTAACTGATGTCTTACTGTATAAGTTTTGCTTTTTCTTTATATGTCATAATATTAGGTTTATATATAACTAGCTGTACCCGCGGGCTTTGCCCCGTTTAACTTCTTAATTTTCAAGATGAGCTCGTTCGCATGGCTCAATCACGTCCTGGTTGAAGTGCGCTCGCTACGCTCACTCACCTTTTGGTTGCAAATTAGCTGTTGTCATAAATTAAAAAAATAATAATAGTGCTGCACCCTGTTGGCAATCCTTGTAACTTTAAAGCTATTGAACATCATAGAACAGAACCAACTTGTTTAATTGAAACAGCTGATAAGATTCATTAATTCCTTTTAAATATGAAAAATCATAAGGTTAACATGGGAAACTCCAGAGCCACTGGGGCGGAGCCCGAGAGTCCGATCAGAATAAAAACAACTTAGTTTTCCTATTTAATGCCTAAAGAATCGGTGTACCAAATTTCAGCATCCTAGGTAAATGGGAAGTGGGAGAATTAGTGATGAGTGAGTGAGTGAGTGAGTGAGTGTGTCAGTAAGGGCTTTGCCTTCAGGGCCGGTTTAACCCATACGCGAACTACGCGGCCGCATATGGCGCCACGAAAAAGTGGCGCCAACGGAACAATATTTTTACGTGAACAACGTAATTTTGTTTATTTTTTCTCAGATTTCAAGTATTCAAAGCACCACAGTAAAGGCATTTATTCTGTTTGTACCAACAGCACTTGAAAAATGCGTATATTTGTACAGCACTGCAACTGAAGGACTCGATGCCATTTGCAGTTTCGATCTGTAGTGAGCTGACGCTCGGTAGTCGGCAGCGTACAGCGCGGCGCCTGTGGGTTTCATTTCACGACTCACTCACTATGCTCGAGATAAGCAAGCGCGCAGCGCCACTTGTCACAACCATCGATGTATATAACAATGTTAGGCTGTATACATCGATGGTCACAACAAGAAACTTCCCCCGCCCTTCCCTCCCTTCTGCCTCTGATCCTAGAGCAGAACATTACGTTGTATTGCACTCTGTATACGTTACAGTATCGGTGGTATCGTATTGGCATTGTTTTGATGATTCATGATTGTTGATGTTGATAAGTGAAGAGTAATTTAAGTTTAATTTATAATTAGCGCATTAAATAAGAAGAAAGTATTAACTGAATGAATGAGTCAAACATCTTACGAGCCGATACTAAGAAACAATGGCAGAAAAAAAGAAACCGTCTCTGGCACTTATAGAAAGCGTAAGGCGAATTTGGAAGAGGAAGATAAAAAACAAGCCAAATCAATAAATAGATTTTTGTTGAAATCATCTGGTGGCGAGTCCAGTCAGCCCAAAGAAGTCACGATAAGAAGACGGCAATGACGTAGGTATTTATTTATTTATTTTCCAAGGAAAGATTAAAACAAGCAGCTGATCACAAACGGCAAACATTACGTCATTGCCGTTGCCGTCTTCTATCGTGACGTCATGCTTGACGAGCATTACGGTCTGTTTTTTTAGTGTGGCCTTGGTTTTGCTAAAGTTTATATGATGAGTAAAAGTGTAAAAATGAAAAATGTCTGCGAATAATAAACAGTCTTTTATTTCAAGTATTCTTCTAACCTAAACTTATAAAAAGGTTCTTCCCAAAATTATTGGGAAAAAATTCATACGGTTAAGTTGTTCATGGGTTGGGGGGGGGGGGGATTCTAAGTGGCGCTGATTCGGGTGTTCGCTTAACTCTGAAAAATTCCTAGAACCGGCCCTGTTTGCCTTTTATATATTTAGATAGTTTTGCCAGCACGCCTCAAAATATGCAAACCAATAACTGCTGTTCTTTATATAATAAGGTTTCAACTGACTACTATAAGATCCCCGTGCGTAGAACGGGCACACAGCTAGTTTGGTATAAACGTGTAAGCCTACATTTATTCGAACGAGTTCGCTAACCAGCATGGTCGGACCATGGGAACAGGGGTTTATGGGGTAAAAATGAGTTTTTCTTATTTTTGATCCTAAAAACATAAAATTTGCAATTTCTTTCTAAACCATTTTGTAAGCTTAAAAAAATAACTTAGTATATTGAAGCTCTGTTGTATACCTAAAGGTACAGAGAAAATTTTAAAAAAAAGTGTAAATTTAAAATTCCCATGTTATGGAGCAAATGAAAACTGTTGTAGTTTACTTGTTTACTGTTGTGTTATATGTTGATAAATTTGGCAAATTTATTTATTTCATCCTATGCTATTAAAGTTTGGTCAATAAACACTCTTTACCTTCCCCATACCAGCAAACCTAAGCACTCGTTAAATCTAATGTTATTAAAATTGGGAATAAATAGGTCTTATTTATGGAAATATTTGAGTAAAAATGTAATCAGACAAGTTGCTTAGTCTGCAGGTTTGCTGCTGCGGGTGTATTTATAAATACACTAGATCGATTCTTAAAAAAATTGTACTTGTTTTGACGTTGTCTATTGCACCATTGTATTTATAGCCAATAAAGATATTCTTATTCTTATGTTTAACCCTGACACTCCCTACAGAGCCGTCTCACAAACTTGCGGCATTCACCGTTGGTTAGTGTGTTGTGCGGCGCACCACAGAGTTTAAAAGAGGCCTAACAGATAGGATAGTGCAGAGCAACATCAAAAGAACAAACATTGCTATTACCACAGTACGGTATTTGTAAATTATCACCTCTTTCTTGTTTTTCTTCTTTCTATACAAGACAGTTAATGCTATGTAATTAAAACAAACACTTACGTCTTTCATAGGTCTCATTAATTTCCTTGATCTCTTTGTTGCTGCGGGTACACAGGATTTCAATGAGTGCCATTTCATCACACCCAGCTCCCTTCATAGCTTTGTTGAGCTGTTGGCAGAGGTACTCCACTGGAGGAGACATCAGGCCGATGATTACATCTTCAAATTTACCTCCAAGTTCACTTTTGAGGTCTTTGATCAGGTCCTGATGACAGAAAAATTACACATAAATTATTAGGATTACATAATATGATCTCCAAACTAGCAGTTTGTAGTTTGTAACAAATTCTAATTTGAAAGGAGTACCGTAAATAAATAAATAGTACAATGGGAGAACATTTTTACAGTTTACGTTATGGTTTTGTGATATCAAATTATGTGACAATAATTTGGATGAATAGCTTTAAAGAAAAACCAACAATGATCCGCCACGCAATAAGTTGACTCCAAGAACAGATCATCCTCAGCACATCGATGTTTTTTACGAGTCTTGCAGAACTCAAATTAAATTGTTTAACAAGTAGCTGAAAATAAAAAGTCTTGAAATGTAATGTAAAACCAAAGATATGATAACATGTCAACAAATCTTGATTTCTACAAATTGAAGAAACTTATCACAACTAAAACCTACGGGAAGCCTATGTATGCCTCTAATTTGAAAGGAGTACCGTAAATAAATAAATAGTACAATGGGAGAACATTTTTACAGTTTACGTTATGGTTTTGTGATATCAACTTATGTGACAATAATTTGGATGAATAGCTTTAAAGAAAAACCAACAATGATCCGCCACGCAATAAGTTGACTCCAAGAACAGATCATCCTCAGCACATCGATGTTTTTACGAGTCTTGCAGAACTCAAATTAAATTGTTTAACAAGTAGCTGAAAATAAAAAGTCTTGAAATGTAATGTAAAACCAAAGATATGATAACATGTCAACAAATCTTGATTTCTACAAATTGAAGAAACTTATCACAACTAAAACCTACGGGAAGCCTATGTATGGCCTCTTAATTCTCTTTCAGTCACCTTTCACCTACATACGGAAAAACTTTGAATTACTTTCACCGCCATCACCCTTTTAGACGTCACTTTCTGTTATCCTATACCCCGCTGCGGAATATTTTTAAATTTGATTTTATTTCACAGTACAAACATTGACCAAGTACAACATACAAAATAACAGTTCTGTATTATACTCTTGTATGTAAGTAATTTATGTAGGTATTATTTCCTTTTACTGGGTTTAATTTCTTCCAAAACCTTTTAAATCAAGTTACTGTACAGGTTTACAACAGGATTTATGTTATCCTTATATTTGCTTAACCGTCACGCTCCCGGTCCCGATCAATAGTTTATGTTACTACAGTAATAGTTTTACTGTACATGCATATACATTATAAATGTGCTATCTATCTCACCAAAACCAGCAAAACAAATAGTAACATCAGTGGTTAAGAAAATAGCATATTTCGTACCTAGGGCCAAAAATTAGGTTTTGCTGGTTAATGATCATTTTCAGTCTCGAACTAAATCGAGTTAGAGCTGCAAAACCATTTTGGACCGTGGTACCGAACGCTATTTTTCACCAAACGACCAAACTATACCCTACTATACTATTCACCACAATAATAATTCACACTAACAGTCTACACAACTACAACTTTAAGGTTTATGTGAAATATCTTGAGGTATCTGCAAAAATAACAATAAATAGTTGCCTAGGCAGCAGTGACAATAAAACAAGTCTATTGTAATGCATACTGCTTGTGTATTTAATATACATAAGCGTTTTATGTAAATAGGCAAGCAGTTGGTTTTCGGCCCTAGGGGTCGTAAAACCGGCTCGATCCCCAATTGACGATGAAAGCTGGTATTGTCAGCAATACATAGCTTTCGGCCTCCAATTAACGTTTGTAAAATTACTAAAAACATCAAAGTGTGGTGAAAAATATATTTTGTAATAGTTTAAAATGTGTTACATTACAATCTTACTAATATTATAAATGCAAAAGTTTGTGTGTTTGTTTGTTTTGTTTGTATGTATGTTTGTTTGTTTGTTTGAAGTTCCATCACGCATGAACTCCTGGACGGATTTGGCTGAAATATGGCATGATAATAGCTCACATTCCTGGTTAACATATGGGCACATTCCTATCTCAAAAATCCTTTCGGGCTCCGCCCCAGTGGCTCGGTAGTTCCCCATGTTAACCTTATGAGTACCTTATGTTAACCTTGATAAAAAGGGAATTAAAAAAGTTAGTCAGCTGTTTCATCCAAAAAAGTTGGTTCTAACGTATGCAAAAGCATTAAAAAGTTATAGGATTACCAACAGGGTGCAGAACTATTATTTTTATTTTTTTATTTCATGAAAACAGCTAATTTGAACTAAGCAGCAACAAAAAACTGTAATACACAATGAGAACTGTCAAAGTAGGATTGTCTACAGTTATGCTTATGTTTTTAATTTCATGAATAATTTGTGATATTTTGCGATTTTTTTATAATTTACTAGCTGGCCCGACAGACGTCGTCGTGTCCTAATGTGGTTTTATGTCAAATGCTCGTTCATTTTCAAGATGAGGTCGTTCGCATGGCTCAATCACGTCCTGGTTGAAGTTCGTTCGCTACGCTCACTCACCTTTAGGTTGGAGCTCGTTCGCTGCGCTCACTTGCCTTCAGGTTAGCTCGTTTGCTACACTGACTCACCTCCAGGTTGAAGTTCGTTCGCTACGCTCACTCACCTTTTGGTTGCAAATTAGCTATTATGAATTTAAAAAAAAAATAGTGCTGCACCCTGTTGGTAAACCTATTAAATTTCTGATGCTATTGAACATCACAGAATCAAATTCTTTAGTTGAACCAGCTGTTAAGATTCTTAAATTCCATTTAAATATGAATACTCATAAGGTTAACATAGGAAACTCCAGAGCCACTGGGGCGGAGCCCTTTTGACGGATCTGCACCAAACTTCACACAAACCATCCGTAAATAATGCTTAATAATACCTGAAAGTTTCATTACAATCTGTTGAGCGGTTTTGGAGTCCATAAAGGACAAACAAACAAACAAACAAACAAACATACAAACAAACATACATTGGATTTTATATAAATAGATTTTTATCTATTGTTTAGGTGAAGCGGTAGAACGATGGTAGAATGATGTGTAATACATAGTATACCGTAAATTTAAAGAAGCAAATTTTATCAAACTGAGTCCTCTCCCATTGAAAACGCAAAGCTTGAGTATAACTTCAATAATTATTTTACTTATATGCCAACCCAAATGGAAATCAGTGACGGATTTCCCACTAGACGGGTGCTGCCGCTTACGGGCGCCTCCGCTACCACGTTAGTCTGCCGTATAGGCGCGACCACCACGCGACGGCACGGCAGTGACGCAAAACGACAGTCAAAGGGCACTGACATATTTAAGGAATTATTTAAGTGAAAATACAATAAGGCAAATGGAAATTTGTTTAGTCTGCAGTTTGTGCATTTTCAAACGTAGATAGATATAGCTCTTCGTATGTATTTGTGCACAGCTGTTTCAAACTGCTTAGCAGAACGTTAATTTTCTGTTCTAAAAACGATCAAATCTTGCCTTAGATCCAGAATGAACGAAGATAGATTGATGAATGAACTTATGAACAGTAGTGGTAAAATAAAAGTTAAAGACTTAATAGATGAGTTTGCAATGGTTAAAAGTAGGAGGGAACCATTGTAAAGACACAGAATAAAGACTATACAAAGATATTAATGTAAAAAGATATAAGTTTATATAAAGTTGTTATTTCTTATATTCCAGTCAGTAGGCATACTGTATTTCAATAAAATGTATTTTAAACTTAAGTTTGTGAGATGGTATACCTTTTCAAATTTAATTAAATCCAAAAAATAACTTACAGTGTTTTTTATAAAACACTGCATTATGGACTTGTTAGACTTAGTTTATATTTTTAAAAATAATTACTTTTTCACCACACTATCACCACACTATGTGTTTAGCCGTTTTACAAACATTAATTGGAGGCTGAAAGCTACATATAATTGCTGTCCAGGAACGAAATGGCAGCTATCATCATCCTTTTGGGCCGATTAGGTTTTTACGACCCTAGGGTCACAAAACCAGCTGTTCGCTTACTTACTTAAAACATCAAATTATAATAAAATACACAAGCAATATCCATATGCATTTTATGTCACCGCTGCCTAGCAACTTTTATAGCTGGTTCCTCTCAATATTTATTCACATTTAACATTAAAGTTGTAGTTGTGTTAACTGTTAATGTGCATTTATTGCGAGAAAATGGCAACTTAAGGCCCAATTTTGTAAAGTGTGGTGAAAAATGGCGTTTGTACCACGGGCCGAAAAGGTTTTGTAGCTCTCGACTATGTCTTTAACTTACAGATGTCTGAAGGGGGCGGCACTAAGAATAGTGCCTAGGGGGTGAAATATTGTATAAATCCGTCTCTGATGGAAATGTTCCCCATTCAACTGTCTTCAATACTTAAAGCGGCTCCTTGTTTCTCTTTTTTAAGCTTTGTTTATTTTGTTTGTGTACTTAGGCTCGATATAGAGCAGGTTGTTTGCTCATTAATGTATTTTAAGAGGAAAATCACATTTATTGTAAAAATCATACAATCTTTGCTGTTTTGATTTTAATTTTAAACATGATGAGATATACGACATACCCTTCCATACTCTTCGGTGAACCACTTGGAGATTTGCTGTCTCTGGTTGTTGGATCTCTTGGTCAGAATGTCAATGATGGCTTGTTCATCAGTTCCCAACCCCTTCATTGCCTGACGCAGCGCTGCACCGTCCTCAGCAGCGTTGAAGCCACTGAACGGCACCACAGTTGGCTCTGGCTGTACAATAATTGCAAACACGACAATGCCAATGACTAATTCATTACTTTATAGTGATAGATATTTTCATACAACACCCAGGCCCACAGTTTGCATTTGATGTGCTATGGGCCCAAAAGATACTTGTGCCCCTCTCCACCTACCTTGTGGAGGAAATGTTCTCTTCCTTGCGCCCCCAACAAACCTAAAACCTCTTGGGGCCTATTTATAAAAGCGCCCCTGACTTAACAATTAAGTAACAATTAAGTAACTTTACAATTAACTATATACTACATCAGTTCTAACATCTAGGCCTATATAATTAATACGCTACATGAAACTTTGTCGGTTGAACTCCTCCGCCATTTCGTAACCGATTTTATCCATTGACGTCTCATTGAAAAGAGCGTGTCGCGTAGATTTGCAAACTGGCCTTACATTTTTGAAAAAAGTCTGTAAGCCAGACTTTATCAAACGCCTGGGCCTATTAATAATGGAAGAAACTGTGATTTTTTTATTTTTAGTTTTTTAGTTTAAATATTTCTTAATATTTTTGTCATTAATTTAGGTTTTAGTTAGCCTAAGTTTAACTTAAGTTAATGTTTTTTGTTAATTAACTGATCATATAATATTTTTTCATATTTATAGTTTTATTAATTAAACATTAGGCCTATATAAACATGGAAACAAATCAATTTTGAAATCGATGGTTACAACAGACAAAAATTGTATAATCGATATGTCGAACCGAACAAGTATTCATTCGATAATATATCGTATGTTCTCAATGGAAGTGTACCCAGACATTTTTTTAAGATCATAGGCAAGGTACCGTATTGCAGTGAGGAGAATGGGATTTAGATATACCGGATAATCTCTTAGTTCTAGGTTCTAGGTTACTTGGCAATGACCTTTCATACAGAATAGATATCTAGGTTAATTTTTTGTAGGTAAAGATTGGTTGTTGGTATTGACATTCTGTTCAACATACAACTACATACCCCCCCCCCCCCTACATACAACTAACTACGTTACCTAAACAACTACCAAATGTTTCCACAATACCTGAGGAGAAACTAAGTTTAAAGAAAAATGTGTTGAGATGTAAGTGATAACTAACTAATGTAAGTTAAATACTAGTGAATGGGAGATAGTCAGATAGTGGATAGTAAATTAAATGATCGAGTTTAGAAAAATACTCACTCTATAGTAGTTCATAATGGATTCCTAAGCAGCCCTGAAAAAGAAGTAAACTTAAATAAATACAATATAAACCTAACCCAACCCAACATTAAGTTATTTAACTTTTGATAACATTATGAATGTTTACAAACATGTATCATTAATGTGACTGTGACTACACATTTAGTTCAACTACTTTAATATATTGTCATGAACCCTATATGAGATGAAGCCTATATTGTCTTCATCTGATCCAAAAGGACGATAAAGGCTATAAAGGTGTAACCATAGATCAATACTCACTCTATGCCTTAATCTCTAGCTTTCTTGCACAGGCCACCACTGAATATGTCGTTAATATTTCGCTTTCAGAATAATTTATGTTTTAGGAGTGATCTAAGTTGATCCCCAGGTAAGTACTGAGGTAATTTATTGTTGTATCTATTGATTTTTTCAAGGGTTTTATAAGATAACTTAAGTTACTGGAGTCTAAACCTTCGCTAAATCATCATGATGTTGTCCCCTGGCGCTGCGGAGTGGGGGAAATGATTCTCCCTCCACCTCCCTCCCCTCTAGACGGCGTCCAAACAAGCCCGCGTTGTTTTACATGCATATGATATACCTATTCTGCAGTTTTTCAATAAGTTAAAAAATGAGTATTTATAAAATTAAACTGTCATAAACTAACCTAACCAACCAAACATGCTGATTATATAAAAAAATATACAAAATAATAATCGAATGAAGGTTTACTAATCGAAAAAATAGTTCTGTTCATAAAATAAAATTATAAATGCCTTGAATTCAATTTTAGAATTTATTAATTTTAAAATTAAACTGTCATAACCTAACCAAACCAACCAAACTTGCTGATAATGAAAAATCGAACAAGGTTTACTAATAGAAAAAAAGTTCTGAAATTATAATAGCTCAAATTGAATTTTATAATGTTTTAATTAACAAATTAAACTGTCATAACCTAACCAAACTAACCAAACTTGCTGATAATGCAAAAATCTTAGACAAAAAGTTAGTGCTACCGAGAGGTTTCGAACCTGGTACCTTCAGATCCTCAGCCCGGCATGTTATCCATTAGACCACCGAGGCCGGTGGCTACAAACGGTATCGTTGCGGTAATGGTGTTCCCTCAGCCAATAGAATGCTTTGCTTCCCCCACTCCGCAGTGCCAGGGGACAACATCGTGATGATTTAGCGAAGGTTTAGACTCTAGTACTTAAGTTAAGCCGTGTTTACACTATGTAACTTGTTTATAAAACTTATGTTATATAACATGTTTAACAAAATGTAACATGTTACATGTAACTTCATGTTTTATAACTTAAGTTAATTTCATGTTTAAAAAACCAGTTTTTCCTTTCCCGCACGAAGTCGGTAAAGATAAAAGAAAATGTGTAAGAACTTGTTACATGTAACATGTTACAAGAACGTGTTTTACTACTTGTAACCTGTAACAAGTTACAGAAGTACAGAACGCCGTTGAAATAGGTGGTGGGGGAGGGGAATCAGTCACTCAGTGGAAGTCTGTGGTTGGTAATATGTTAGTTTGTTAGTTTTATTGTGTTTATCTTTTATCAGTGATACTATGGCTGAGTGGTGCCAGGCTGATGTGTTCAGGCTCATCGAGGAATATCGGGAGAAGTCCTTGCTGTGGAATCCAATGGATGAAAATTATAAGAATAGAAATAAAAAGTATGATGCATGGGTGAAACTTGACAAACCTTTGGAGTGGAAACGGGGGAATGTAAAAAAAGAGGAAACTGATTGGCTAGCACTGTACTTATTTTGCGCTTGTAAAGATGGGCGTACCCAATACCGTCTTTTAGCCTGTTTTTTGCAGAACTTATCACAATAAAAGCCGCAGCAGCAAGTAGAACATCGTCATCTGTAGTAGGCCCTAGCCATTATGACTGCAGATGGAAACACAGATGTTTTTGTAACTTGTTACAAATTTCTTTTGTCCATCAAACCTTTGGTTAAACAACAAAAGTTACTTAAATATACTTAACCTATTTCTTAAAAAAAGTTAATGATATATTATATAAGTAGGCCTAGGCCTACTTATAACTTACTTAAGTTATAACTTATATATGTTACAACACATGTAACAAGTTTAAGTTTTAAACAAGTTACAAGCAGTGTAAACACACCTTTAGGCCTATTGTGATGTGAAGAAAGTAGCTTGTGTCTTTTTATTTTATTTTAATTGACTTTAAGTTATCTATGCATTATTGTACATGTTTTAGGACAATAAATAATTTGTGTTTGTTTGACTTTACCATTCAATAAAATACAGTCCCAGTTAGTTTTGCAAGAATGCAAGACTAACTTAAACAATTTCAAAAATACCAATGAAACAGTTACACTTTTAACTTAATTCATAAAGTAGTACGGTGCCGACGTGGTCGTGTGTAAAATATTTATTAACTTATAAGCTGGATGAAATTAATTGTGTATAGCAATTAAAGAGACAATAAATTTTATGGTTACAACATGCCAGCATCGATCTCTATTCATGCCAGCTACTCCCCAGACCCATGCAAACTAACTGGTGATAATAGATAATAGATTATAGATTCAACAATGAAAATAATTCACGGAAAACGGAAGATGCTTTACCATATTGTTACGGTATTGCCAACCCACACCCACAAGGCATGACACGGGTTAACAACAATTTGGGCTATAAACAATTAATCGTAACAAGTTATATCTAAGTAATTAAACTAAACTTACCAGCAAGTAATTATATCCTCAAACGTACACGTAACGGAGAATATAGAACAGCTACACTCAGATTTGCTCGTCCACGTCCACTCCACCGGCGTTGGGGTTATTTTTATTACTTTCACTCACCACAATTCTATCTAAGGCACACCCACTGCAGTGTAGCCAACTGTAAGACGTTGGCGTTGGATCGCAGCACGAAAAATCCCGATGCGCGGACGTCACTGACGCCAGGAAATTTCCATCAGCTGATGTCAGGGCGAGTAAAGTGAAACCATTACCAACAGAACAAACAGTGATGTCCCGTGTCCTGCGCTTTCAAGTTCAAGGTTTCATTTTAGTCGCATCGCCGCATACGCAACAACAACAACCAGAACCAGAACAGAACCCACAACCATACGTTCACATCTCGCCGTTTCGCCATGCCAATGCCAGTCCAAGCATGATTATGAAATGTGGAGGTAGGATCATCGATGTGGGAATTATTAAACATCGATAGGTAGGATGTGCGTGCGGTAAATTTAACTTTCACAACACTTTGTTGTTTTGAAAGTAACTCACAGAAACGCATTTTTTTATCTTTGACCCACATTATCGGATAGATTGTGTCAATTTATTTAATATACAATTTTTACTAAACTAATATTTTGTCTAGGGGAGGTTACCAGGCCACTTAGCTTTTTCGTTTTCTCGACTAGTGTAGTTATTTGCAAAATGCTAAAGCTAAGCTAACCTATTTTGATTTTACGTAAAGATTATTTTAATTAAAAATATCGTTTTAAGTGCTGATCAAGTGATGGGAGAAGAATAATCCAAATACCACCGCCAGAGCAATCGGCACTCTGCAGACTAAGCGAATTTCCATTTGCCTAAATAGATTTTTACTAAAATATTTCCTTGAAAATATCCAATTTATTTACCATTGTACCAAATTTCATCAAAATCAGATCATTTTTGCTCGGGGTTATAGTGCTAACCGACATATGAATTTGAACGGATGGTGTTTTGGCCTCTCATAATACAACGTTTTATTCTATTCTTGGAATAATTGCCACACTTTTGGCCTCTGGCACCTAAAAACGAAAAATTAAATCAGTCCCCCCCCTGGGTCCAGGTCTTACCACGAGACCTGCAACTGCAATAATACCTTACTGTATCCCCTATGTGGGAAATCCACTACCCGGGAAGTTAATTCCCCTTCCACTTTCACAATCTAAGATACCTACATTCGCATGGTCGCCATTTCAGTTAAAAGTATTTGAGTGCACTTCTTTATGGGAGTATTTCATTTGGTCCAAAATCGTTTGGTCCACAAATTGTAAAACAGTTCGTTTGGTCCAAAATCGTTTGGTCCACAAGTTTTAAAACAGTTCGTTTGGTCCAAAATCGTTTTATGATCCAGTTGGGGAGTATTTCATTTGGTCCAAAATCGTTTGGTCCACAAGTTGTAAAACAGTTCGTTTGGTCCAAAATCGTTTGGTCCACAAGTTTTAAAACAGTTCGTTTGGTCCAAAATCGTTTGGTCCACAAGTTTTAAAACAGTTCGTTTGGTCCAAAATCGTTTGGTCCAAAAGTACAGGCAAAACCAGAATTACAATTGTGTATTGTGGAGTAAACTTATGAAATAGACTAATAGACTGTACGTTTCACTGTGGACCATTCGATCGGGTCGTTTTATTCAACACTCTATTACGAGTTCGTTTGGTCCAAAAGTATGAACTATTGCGTCCCTCACATAGAAGGCGTTCAAATAATCGCCGTCACGTCGTCAACCCAACCGCCTGCCTTCCGAGGCCTATTTTGTTGTTTTGTGATATGTTTCTAAATAATTGATATGTTTGCATTTCTATACACGTACATATACATATATTTATTTATATATAATGTGTTTGTGTAATGTTTACTTTTTATCCCCAGTCAATCTTAAAACAACGCGTTTTAATTCCCTAGATTTGTGGATAAATATTGACTTTGATTTGAGTTTGCATTTAATGTTAAACAGATGGTTTATTTTTTAATCTTACTAATATTATAAATCTGAAAGTTTGTGAGTTTGTGTGTGTGTTTGTGTGTGTGTGTGTGTTGCTCAATCACGCATAAACTACTGGACGGATTGGGCTTAAATTTGGCATGATGATAGCTCACATTCCCGATTAATATTAAAGCATATTATTATCCCAAAAATCCTTTCGGGCTCCGCCCCAGTGTGGCTCTACTGGCCCAGATGCTACTGCAAACCATCTGTCAAGATATAGGTACTACTGTAATTTAAGGTTTATGTGTTTGGATGTTATTAGACACGATAAGAACACAATGAACTTCTTCTGCAGATGAACAATCTGTTGGTTACGAGAAATATAAGCCGAATTAATAAATGCCACAATTCAAGCGCATTAAATTGACTCTGGTCTGAGAAACTGTTTATAGTATGGAGTTTGGGCCTTTTAGATGTCACCATCTGGGTAAGTAACTTTGAGAGATCAATGATTTTTGTTGCTGAGTAGCGCCAGTAAACATGCGCATCACTTCTTTAGTTGAATAACATTCACTGACTCCATTGTGTATTCTTTCACTAAGCTGAATGAATGCATCAAAGTAAACTCTCTAAAAGTAGGCCTATGTAATAAACTGGAATTTAGGATTAATAACTTAAAATAAAACGAACCGATCGAATGGTCCACAGTGAAACGTACAGTCTATTTCATAAGTTTACTCCACAATACACAATCGTAATTCTGGTTTTGCCTGTACTTTTGGACCAAACGATTTTGGACCAAACGAACTGTTTTAAAACTTGTGGACCAAACGATTTTGGACCAAACGAACTGTTTTAAAACTTGTGGACCAAACGATTTTGGACCAAACGAACTGTTTTACATCTTGTGGACCAAACGATTTTGGACCAAATGAAATACTCCCCAACTGGATCATAAAACGATTTTGGACCAAACGAACTGTTTTAAAACTTGTGGACCAAACGATTTTGGACCAAACGAACTGTTTTACAACTTGTGGACCAAACGATTTTGGACCAAATGAAATACTCCCCAACTGGATCATAAAACGATTTTGGACCAAACGAACTGTTTTAAAACTTGTGGACCAAACGATTTTGGACCAAACGAACTGTTTTACAATTTGTGGACCAAACGATTTTGGACCAAATGAAATACTCCCATAAAGAAGTGCACTCAAATACTTTTAACTGAAATGGCGACCATGCGAATGTAGGTATCTTAGATTGTGAAAGTGGAAGGGGAATTAACTTCCCGGGTAGTGGATTTCCCACATAGGGGATACAGTAAGGTATTATTGCAGTTGCAGGTCTCGTGGTAAGACCTGGACCCAGGGGGGGGACTGATTTAATTTTTCGTTTTTAGGTGCCAGAGGCCAAAAGTGTGGCAATTATTCCAAGAATAGAATAAAACGTTGTATTATGAGAGGCCAAAACACCATCCGTTCAAATTCATATGTCGGTTAGCACTATAACCCCGAGCAAAAATGATCTGATTTTGATGAAATTTGGTACAATGGTAAATAAATTGGATATTTTCAAGGAAATATTTTAGTAAAAATCTATTTAGGCAAATGGAAATTCGCTTAGTCTGCAGAGTGCCGATTGCTCTGGCGGTGGTATTTGGATTATTCTTCTCCCATCACTTGATCAGCACTTAAAACGATATTTTTAATTAAAATAATCTTTACGTAAAATCAAAATAGGTTAGCTTAGCTTTAGCATTTTGCAAATAACTACACTAGTCGAGAAAACGAAAAAGCTAAGTGGCCTGGTAACCTCCCCTAGACAAAATATTAGTTTAGTAAAAATTGTATATTAAATAAATTGACACAATCTATCCGATAATGTGGGTCAAAGATAAAAAAATGCGTTTCTGTGAGTTACTTTCAAAACAACAAAGTGTTGTGAAAGTTAAATTTACCGCACGCACATCCTACCTATCGATGTTTAATAATTCCCACATCGATGATCCTACCTCCACATTTCATTTGACCCGTGCGGATTCTTATCTCCTGTGGTGATATGGGCAAAAATATTTATCCAAACATTGTGGACAAGAGGACTTCAATGGGACACCCCTCCGACCTATTGGGGCAATGGAAGTTCTTTACAAAACAGTTATATTTACTTGAAAATATAATGTTGCCTCGACATTTTAGAATGTCCAATTCAAGTGACATACAATATTGCACGGGTTTTGCGATGCCAGTGAGCTTGCTTTCTCAGCCTGTGTTTATTTACGTGTTACTGACTCCGACCATAACACGCATATTTCACTAATTGTCGCCAAAACCAGAGTAGCGCCTCTTAAGCGTATTTCTCTTCCCAGACTCGAATTGTGCGGGGCGCATTTACTCGCCCAATTAATGCATTTTTGTTGTAATAATTTCTTATCAAAGCAAGTGCCACTTACTTCCATTCACGCCTGGACGGATTCTACTGTAACTTTAAATTGGATTTGTACCCAACCATACAAGTTAAAAACGTATGTAGCCAATAGAGTATCTCAAATACAAGAATGGATTCCCGCTACAGCTTGGTCACACGTCTCATCTAACCAGAACCCAGCTGATTGTGCTTCTCGCGGAATATTTCCGCAGGATATTATTTCTCACAAACTCTGGTGGTCAGGACCGCAATGGCTCTTATCAGATCAAGATAACTGGCCTAAAACTCGGAATAAAGAAATCGATCCCTCAGAAATTCCTGAGCTCAAAATAACACATAACAATACACTTGTTACTTCCTTACATTGTAAACTTGACCAAGATTTTTTGTCTAAATATTCCTCCTGGAGTAAACTTGTGCGTGTAATCGCCTTTGTTCTTCGCTTTATACACAATGCACGACATCCAGCTTCCAAACTAAGCGAAAATCTATCTTCATATGAGCTTCAAAATTCTGTAATTAACATATGCAAGATAGTTCAAATCAATGATCTTAACTCTGAAATTGAAAGTTTAAAGAACAATAAAATGTGTTCTAACAAACTGAAACATCTCTCGCCTTTCATAGATGAAAGTGATTTGATAAGAGTGGGAGGTAGGCTTAAAAACGCAAAAATAAGCTCTAACGCCAAACACCCGATTCTACTTCCTAAATCTCATAAGATTTCTTCATTGATAGT